TTTTCCAAGGAAAAAAGCTCCGCTCTCGTTTGTCTCTCTTTTCGAGGAAAGAGGGGCAGCCATCTGCTTCCCGCAATCCAGGACCCTCCGCTGCTGAGGCACGGAGGAGAATGAGCTCGTGGGGATCTCAGGTGGACCTGGCCGATGAGTTTACGAACTGCAGTCAGGTCGAGACCCCGATGAGGACGACGAGCATGCAGATGAGCTTCCCTGAGACGGTTTCTGACAGTTTGTGCAGAAATTCTTTGGTTATGCAAACCGATTGTTGCAGCAGCTGTCCGGGTGGCTGGTCTCAGACGATCTTGGAGGTGAAGATGCTGGATGTGGAGGTCCTGGGCTGGTGTGGTTACACGTGGTCTGCGGTTGTGAGGCCGGTTGGATGTACTGCCAAATTCTCTAAAACGCCTTTGGAGACGGCTTATGGTAGAGAAATGAACGTTCAATTCACGGGCAACAGCTCTGGTGGACATTCCTGCAGTCAGCATGCCAATTGCACGCTCCCTCAAAACTTGCGACTGTAATGTGGTGTTTGGGTTTTGTCATGTTCATGTTTTCTATGTCTTTTATTTTGTAATTGTTTCCTGCTGTTAGTGTCATGCTTCCCTTGCCTCATGTCTCTCTGCCTTGTGTATGTGTCATGTTCTGATTGGTAGTCTTAGTCATGTGTCTTGTTTCCCATTGGTTTGTTCTTGTCATGTGACCATCTTGTTTGATATAATTAGCCATCATGTTCCCATAGTCTTCGTCGTGTATTGAAGTTGTAACCCACTGTCGGTGAGTCTAGTCTGTTATGCCTCGTCAAGCCTGTTCATGCCTAGTCAAGTCTGTTCATGTCTCGTCAAGTCAAGTCAAGTATGTGTCTCTAGTCTTCATCTGTTTGGATAATGTTTGGATGTTTGGATCACTGTAAATAAACTGCACTTGGGTTCTTCACTACGCTCGCCTTCAGTGGATTGATTCATTACAGAGACATCTGTGGCATTGTGCTGTGTGATAAAACTGCACATTTTAGAGTGGCCTTTTATTGTGGCCAGCCTAAGGCACACCTGTGCAATAATCATGCAGTCTAATCAGCATCTTGATATGCCACACCTGTGAGGTGGATGGATTATCTCGGCAAAGGAGAAGTGCTCACTAACACAGATTTAAACAGATTTGTGAACAATATTTGAGGCCTTTTGTGTACATAGAAAAAGTCTTAGATCTTTGAGTTCAGCTCATGACAAATGGGGGCAAAAACAGAAGTGTTGCGTTTATAATTTTGTTCAGTATAATACCATGCATACTATTACATTTACTTTATTTTTGATGTACAACTAAATTTTAGAGAAAAAATAAATTAATTAAATCATTTAAATCAAATAAAACCAAATATATATTTTTGGGAGAAAAACAAAACAAAAACAAAAAATATATATGTATATAATAATCTATTTTAATTTATTTAAAATATGTTTTTAAATATCTAAATAAAAAAGTATTAAATCATATATATATATATACACACACATACATGTATATTTTTTATTTGTCAAAAATTATATGTACAAACCCAATTCCAAAAAAGTTGGGACACTGTACAAATTGTGAGTAAAAAAGGAATGGAATAATAAACTTATGTTTTATTCACAATAGAATATAGATAACATATCAAATGTTAAAAGTGAGACATTTTGAAATGTCATGCCAAATATTGGCTCATTTTGGATTTCATGAGAGCTACACATTCCAAAAAAGTTGGGACAGGTAGCAATAAGAGGCCGGAAAAGTTAAATGTACATATAAGGAACAGCTGGAGGACCAATTTGCAACTTATTAGGTCAATTGGCAACACGATTGGGTATAAAAAGAGCCTCTCAGAGTGGCAGTGTCTCTCAGAAGTCAAGATGGGCAGAGGATCACCAATTCCCCCAATGCTGCAGCGAAAAATAGTGGAGCAATATCAGAAAGGAGCTTCTCAGAGAACAATTGCAAAGAGTTTGAAGTTATCATCATCTACAGTGCATAATATCATCCAAAGATTCAGAGAATCTGGAACAATCTCTGTGCGTAAGGGTCAAGGCCGGAAAACCATACTGGATGCCCGTGATCTTCGGGCCCTTAGACGGCACTGCATCACATACAGGAATGCTACTGTAATGGAAATCACAACATGGGCTCAGGAATACTTCCAGAAAACATTGTCGGTGAACCCAATCCACCGTGCCATTCGCCGTTGCCGGCTAAAACTCTATAGGTCAAAAAAGAAGCCATATCTAAACATGATCCAGAAGCGCAGGCGTTTTCTCTGGGCCAAGGCTCATTTAAAATGGACTGTGGCAAAGTGGAAAACTGTTCTGTGGTCAGACGAATCAAAATAAAAAGTCTTAGATCTTTGAGTTCAGCTCATGACAAATGGGGGCAAAAACAGAAGTGTTGCGTTTATAATTTTGTTCAGTATAATACCATGCATACTATTACATTTACTTTATTTTTGATGTACAACTAAATTTTAGAGAAAAAATAAATTAATTAAATCATTTAAATCAAATAAAACCAAATATATATTTTTGGGAGAAAAACAAAACAAAAACAAAAAATATATATGTATATAATAATCTATTTTAATTTATTTAAAATATGTTTTTAAATATCTAAATAAAAAAGTATTAAATCATATATATATATATACACACACATACATGTATATTTTTTATTTGTCAAAAATTATATGTACAAACCCAATTCCAAAAAAGTTGGGACACTGTACAAATTGTACAGGGTGTTGCTACTAAGGGTCTGTTGAGACAGGTCCTTCAGCACATACAAAGAGAAACATGTGGTAGCCCCTGTGTGACAGTCCAAGACTAGTATGATTCTAGGCTCTTGGTCGTATTCCCTTATGGTGTACGTCAAACTTCTAGAGAGAGAGAGAGAGAAATTATTATTATCTTTATTATAAAAGATTAAATACTACCATGTTTTTAAATATAGAAAATAAAAAAGTATATATTTATTTTTTTGGTCTTTATACTCTGAACAAAATTATAAACGCAACGCTATTGTTTTTGCCCCCGTTTTTCATGAGCTGAACTCAAAGATCTAAGACTTTTTCTATGTACACAAAATGCCTATTTCTCTCAAATATTGTTCACAAATCTGTCTAAATCTGTGTTAGTGAGCACTTCTCCTTTGCCAAGATAATCCATCCACCTCACAGGTGTTGCATATCAAGATGCTGATTAAACAGCATGATTATTGCTTAGTGCGAAGTTGCTGTATAGTGGCAGGAACTGGAACACGCTGTCGTACACGCCGATCCAGAGCATCCCAAACATGCTCAATGGGTGACATGTCCGGTGAGTATGCTGGTCATGCAAGAACTGGGATGTTTTCAGCTTCCAGAAATTGTGTACAGATCCTTGCAACCCCTTGTTATTCTGTGCCCTTGTTTGTAAGTCTGTTAATTAAATCATCATTTACAGTAAATAGCTAAATTTAATTTAAATGTTTGGGTTCTGTCACATTTATCCAGGTTGAGATTTCACCTCTATTTTCTGCTGTGTATACCTTTAAGCCCATACAGGTTGATTGAACTTAAAAAATGTATGGTAACTCGTTGCCCTAAAAAAGTTAATTTTGTCTTGTTGAGAAAACAATACATTTCAAGTTTAATGTACTTAAGATTTCAACAGCATTTAATTAAAAGCATTTAGTTAATTGAACTAACCGGTTTTAATGCAATGCTGTTGAAATCTTAAGTACATTAAACTTGAAATTTATTGTTTTCTCAACAAGACAAAATTAACTTTTTTAGGGCAACGAGTTACCATACATTTTTTAAAGTTCAATCAACCTGTATGGGCTTACAGTGTGGATGCCCGTGATCTTCGGGCCCTTTCAACGAGACAAAATTAACTTTTTTAGGGCAACGAGTTACCATACATTTTTTAAAGTTCAATCAACCTGTATGGGCTTACAGTGTGGATGCCCGTGATCTTCGGGCCCTTAGACGGCACTGCATCACATACAGGAATGCTACTGTAATGGAAATCACAACATGGGCTCAGGAATACTTCCAGAAAACATTGTCGGTGAACACAATCAAAAAGAAGAGGGGATGCCACACAGTGGTAAACATGGCCTTGTCCCAACTTTTTTGAGATGTGTTGATGCCATGAAATTTAAAATCAACTTATTTTTCCCTTAAAATGATACATTTTCTCAGTTTAAACATTTGATATGTCATCTATGTTGTATTCTGAATAAAATATTGAAATTTGAAACTTCCACATCATTGCATTCTGTTTTTATTCACAATTTGTACAGTGTCCCAACTTTTTTGGAATTGGGTTTGTCTATATTTATATATAGATAAATAGAAAGATTATATATATATAATGCATATATATTTTTACTACATTAAAAATATTAATATATACATCTATATTTTTAATGTATTAAAAATGTTTTTAAATCTATAAATAAAGTATTAAATCATATACATAACACACACACATATATATATATAATTTTTAACAAATACAAATGTCTTTATAATATCATGCGTACTTGTGCACTATTTTTTACACGTAGTATAACTGGGTCTGTACAGAGGATAATAGAAATGTATATTTTGGCAGGTTGTGTGGGACGCAGGCTCGAGACTCCACCCATCCTCTGTACTTATTTAATGTGCATGTCTGCTTTTTGCATTTCCACTAATAGGCTACCTACAATTTCTATATTTCCTTCATTAGTTTGTGGACGGCGACAAAACCATGAGCGTTTCCAAGATCTCATGCCTCTTCCTGTTGTGAACTTATGCCACTCATTATGACTCCAGCAAGGATTCGCCGACGTGCGAGAATTCCGCCTTCCATTCCTTTTTTAGCACGGCTGCAGACACGCAGGCCACGCCCCTTTCTCATTTTGTCTACGCAAAGGCTCCGAAGCCCCGCCCTTTTTTACCAAATAAGTCCAGGCTGTCCTTACACGGCGAACAATCGATGCGCGTCGCAACCTTTCCCTTTCCCAATCCCGTTTATATAGTACGGCGACTTCCGCCCTTGCCGTTAAAGCAGTGCGATCATGGCGGAGCGCGTTCAGCAGCCCCCAGCTAAACGGCTCTGCTGCCGACCCGGGTATAGTACGACATGTAGACAGGGGCAGCGAGCCGGTGGAACAGTATGCGGCGGTTCGGGTTCTGGCCAAGGGGGATCCAGCAAAACCCAGAGCCCCGAATCGCTCCTGGACATTGCAGCGCGGAAAGTAGCGGAGAAGTGGCCGTTCCAACGGGTGGAGGAGCGTTTCGAGCGCATCCCGGAGCCCGTACAGCGGCGGATCGTGTACTGGTCTTTCCCGAGGAGCGAACGGGAGATCTGCATGTATTCCTCGTTCAACACTGGCGGAGAGGAGAGCGCGTCTAGCGGGGAGAACGTAGACGAGACGCGGTTACCGTTCCGACGCGGCATCGCATTGCTGGAGAGCGGCTGTGTGGACAACGTATTGCAAGTCGGTGAGTGTGGATGTAAACCCGCGGCTTGGAAAACATTGAAATCGATTGATTCCAGTCACCATCACACAGACACAGTCGAGAGAAAACATGCGAATGTCGTTTAAAAGAGGAACACGAGTCGAAAGAAAGGGACTATTGAATTTTCGGCGAACAAAGGGAGGAATACAACGGGTTTAAATCTCCCGACAGGGTGCCGGTGATGTCGTTTAGTTTAGCAACAGACACCGAGCGCTCCGGCTTATCGATACATTCCGAGCGTTCTGGGAAACGTTCTGAATACATTGTAGCGCTTTTGTATCTGCGCGAGAAAAACAGCGCGGAAGTGGAGCTCGATGTCGCTCGATCCATTCAGCGTCTAAAGCACATTTACTTGACTTTTTCGTTGTTCTTTCACCTCGGACTTGTTTTGTAGTTTCACTTTAGTCGGTGTAACGACGTATTAATCGTGTGTTTTCTCGTAAAACGGTTGAAATGTCAAGCCTTCCGAAGCTTGTCTGGTCTGTTTATTTTTTTCAGAAGTGAAAGCTTGGGGGGGGGGGGGGGGGGTGTATTGGCGTAGTAAGTCCACCAACTGCTGGATGTAGAGCTGTCATGTCAACTACAATAGCAGGAATATTCGCGAATATTTGTGGTTATTGCAAACAAGACTCTTGTTTTTAGCAGCGAAAACACTGTTGGTTTTGTATTTAGTGGGTGCGCATATCAAATAGCCGTCGGGCATCCCTATTGAAATTGACACTTTGTTCCCATTTTCATGTTCGTTTGTGTCTTTTCAGCTTTCTGTCACCCTCCAAAAGGAAGGGAAACAAAAGCGGCTTTTTATTTTCTTTCACTGCTTGTTAAATGGAAAAGATTTGGGAAAGAGGTGGGAGGAACGGCGATTTAAAGTCGCAGTGTCTCGATTTCTTCTTAAATGTCCCCTAATAATATGCATGCGTTCCGGCTGACCCTCGTGACGTCAGCGTGCGCCTGGAAATTGTCAAAGTAGCTGCGAACGCGATATTCAGCTCTGGCATGTAGTGATTCAGCCGCTTTGTCTATTGCAACTTTATCCACCTTTGTTTTTAAAGTCCCCGCAATTGATTCCGTGGCTCTCTGCCCTTTGGAAACAATTCAAGATTTTAATCACATTAGTGCCTTTGCTTAATTCGAATTGTAATGCAATCAGCGAACGTCATTTTCTGCATGACCATTCCCCCCTCCTCCACGTTCGTAGCCCGCAAGAGAAGAGGTGCCTCAGCTGGGCTCTATGCCCTCACCCTTCAGCCAAAATGAGTTTGTGCTCTCAGGAAAATGCACACACTGGCCCATGTGTGTCTTCCCTGCCCGGAGCCTCTCGAGCGGACTGGCTGTCTTGGAAGATCAAGGGCTCTTGCCCTTTTTCCAACAGGCTACGTGGAGCTCTCTGCTTTTGATTCCGCTTTTTCCCTTTGTGTGCGCCTCATTCCGAGCTCCGGCGATGGGAAATGACAAGCCTGCGTGCACGGGGAGGGTTTCTTGGCTGATTGCATCCCAGTATGGAATGCTCTGCAAAAATAAAGCCAAGCGGCGATAAATAAAAGATGCAATCTTGCGATGCAGGCAGGGCCGGGGGGGTTGCTTCCAGCAGACCCGGATTAGCCCCGATAGGTAGAGCTCACCGTGACGAACGAGCCGAGACTGAATTCGGGACAGGAATTTGTTTTCCTTTCTGTCATATGCAGGGGGAGGGGATGCAATAAAGCGATATATTTCTCATAAATATGGCCGTGGCGTCCCTCGGCTGGCAGTTGGCCATGACACTCTATATTTGCATACCAAGGGCATCCGAGCAGCCCTCCTCTTTTAGTGCACGCAGGGAATGTTTATCGCATTACAGGATGTGTAGATGGTACATGCAGCACTGATCTTGGGGGAAAGTGTGTGTGTTTTCCTACACAGTTTGGTTGAAGCACTCTGCGGGACTATTGCACGGTTTGCTGTGGAAACTCAGGCGTTATAGCTCTAGGTTGCAATTGCAAACCCAGTAGAAGTTATATATTTCTTACCAGTGTTGATGCTTCTGTTGCTGTGGCTTGCGTCGTATTGATCACGCCGAGCACAAAAGGTCATGGGGTTCAAGTTCAACCCCCTTCTTTCCAGCCGTGTGTTGTGTTTCCATCTGTTATGACTTTATTAGGCTGCCGATCGGTGATCCTATTAGCTGATAATCTGCCTTTTGCTGGTGATATGTTTGCCAATATGCTCAGCTGTTAAAGATCAATAGGAATTAACCACAAATACCATGTGATGCATGCCGTTTGATGTGTAATACCAATACTGAGGCGCGCCGCTGCAAAGATCATAGGTCTACATGCTATATGTCAGTACTTTCAGTTGGTGTAATAACTTGACAGTTAAATCTCAAAGCGAGCCAGTGATGTCATTTTCCATTATTATAGCTCGAGTCAGGACGTTTTGCGGCGTGTTCTCGGAAATGCTGGAGGTTTTTTGAAATTCTAGCATTGTAGATGTTAATGGCAGAACCATATGTGAGTCCCCGAGGTGTATTGATCAGATGAAGAAGACGGTGTCATAGCGGCGTAATGATATAACGGGACAAAATAAACTGATTTGTTTATTGATCTCGCATCAGAGGAGACGCACAGTTCCATCAGCCTTATTAAACCAGAAAGGGTGTGTGTGTGTGTGTGTGTGTGTGTGTGTGTGTGTGTGTGTGTGTGTGTGTGTGTGTGTGTAAAGAATGAAAAATAGAGTGCTGCACATGCTCTAATGTGTGTTCCAGCTCACTGAGCCAGTGGAAAGAAAAGCCTTATGCCTGCGTTAACATTTCTGCCATTCATACACAGAAGTGCAAAATGTAAGATGTACAACTTAAATCTTACATGAGGCTGTTGCTTTTGGGGCCGTCAGAAATGCCATGTGCAAAGGCATCGGAGCTTCTAGTTTGGTAGATTCGAGGTCAGTGGGCCTGCATGTAATTGCTTTATGATGCTTTAAAAGATGCGTGACGTGTCTGCAGAAGTGCTGATACACACATTTGAGATGTTTTGAAGGAAGAGACCAAGATTTTCACCCTTCAATTTTCTCATTTTGAAAAAATATTTGCTGTGGAAACCATTTTCATTCAGAAGCTGCTAGTAAATTTCACAAATAATTACAAAGAAACAGCAAGTAGCATTGAATTAAACATGAAAGTTAACGACTGAAGTAGTATTTTCTTGTAAAACATACTTGAATAATCTTTATTTACAACTTCTAAAGAAAATTTTTCACAGTGTAGAAGAAATTGTTGAGTGTTGAAATATTTAAATTAATTAATGGACTTGGTATGCTATAATACTTCAATTCTTACAGTATATAATGTATGCGTACACATTTTTTGTATGCATACAATAGTCATGATGCAATACTTGATATGAAGTAATATTTGTCGTGATTTTTTAATGTCTTTCTTTACTTTTTTAACGAGACTGTTAAAATGTAGTCAATTTTTTTTCTCAAAATTGGATAAAAAAAAAGCAAAATAACAGGTTATTTCAAAGACGATTTACTATTTGAAATGCATACTTCAATTTAAAAAGTTTGTTAAATAATACGTTCCGTTTCACATACTATAAAAAAAATTGAATGATGGTAAGCTAATTTGCATAACATACTCTACTGTATCCCACAATGCAATGTGGTTGACTTGATATTCAGCTGAACCTGAAGTAATTTCAGTCATAATTTTAAAATCTTTTAATTAGACTACCAAAAAATAAAGTCCTTTTTTTCTCAAATTTAGATTTAATAAAAAAGCAAAATAACAATAATTGCTTAATTATTTGAAGTGTATACTACAATTTGAAAAGTATGTTATATATCATAAGTTCAGTTTCACATCGTATTTAAAAAAAAAATAGAATGCAGTTTTTCATAAGCTAATGTCGTTTTACAAATGCAGATAATGAGTAAGAAATGCTGCATGTTGTTATGTGAGGTTTTGTTATATTATTTTAGATCAGCATTAAATCAGATCGTATGGTCTGTCCGTAAACGCTATATTTTCCACAGCAGCTTTGAGAAGTCAGATTGACAGTAAGCCTACAGATTTGCACCATGTATTGAAAGTTAGCGCTCCACCCACAATGCCCTTTGATGTAGTTTGTGGTGGAGGGCATAAACTCTGCTCTCTGCTGCAGGGTCTGCTATACATTTAGACTGTAGTGTTCTTCACACGTCACGTGCTTCAGTTCAAAGGGTTGTTTAAGCAAGTCTACCAGAGCTTTATTACCAGCATTACCAGTCAAATAAAAAAAACAGCGATTCATTCTTGTGGAATTCTGTTCCAGAGATTTGGAGAGATACATTGCGAAATATCACATCATAACGAACCGCATTTTGACTTCATCGTGACGTTTAGCCTGAATGTTACATTCCAAACTACTGCTGCCACCCAAAGCACTCGATTTCAGCAGAACTAGAAACCTGCAGTTGTCAAATGAAAGCTAGTCATCCTAGTTTGTATGCTCGGTTGAACTCAAATGTTTACATGCATGACAGACTTGATTTGTTGTGTTCGTCAAAGCAAAGATGGAGGATTCTGGCATTGAGCAAGCTCCTGTGCTCATCCATTCTGTGGGGAAGTTCAGAGGTTGTAGTAATGTGTAATGATGTGATGTGCATTTAAGTGATGTTGATCGGAATAAAGTGTACTTGCTGGGCATCTTCATATTTCTTTCTGTCTTTTCACTTCCCAATGAAGATAGGATGCTTTTATAGTACAAAAAAGATGCATTAGGTGTGTAATCAATGCTTTGTGCTTAAGTGTTCTCATGCTGCCACAGAGAATGATGGGAAATATAGTTTTGCGCTATAAACCGGCGAAAAAATTAGTGATCTTTGCTTTGCTTGTAAAAGTTAAAATCCACAATGAAAACACAATATTATTCTGATTTGATTTGTATGATTTAAAAAAAAAAAGAAAATCAGAAGTGTTTTGTTTTATTTTTAATGGCATCAAAATGTTAAAATTATAA